GCTCGAGGCGGTGGGCTGGAGTGAGTTGCCGGGGGGGACGAACTCGCTGCCGGCCGCCTGGGCTGTGGAGGGATGGCTGCCGTCCGTGAGGGAGCGGAGGAGTCACCGCCGTTCGCCTGAGGCCAGAGCCTGCTGCCATCCGCCATGATGGGGAGGAGCAGGGAACGGGGGACTCCTGCCGGCTGCCCGAACGTGGAGGAGCCGTCGCCGTCCACAGAGGGCTGTCCAGTGTTGCCGCCTGGCATCGCGGAAGAGCTTACCCAGCTGGTGGAGTGCCGAGCGGCAGTGTGTCTGGGAACCGGAACAGGATTTAAATTTTTTTCCCCTCTCCCCTCTCTCGTCTCTGTCTCTCCTCATCCTTCCGTCTCCTTTTCTCTCGCCTCGTCTGTCTGTCCTTACCCCCAGGTATGCCGCGGCCGCCGTGATCGGCTCCCGTGGAGTAGAGTGCAGTCTCGTGAGTACCCCCGGCCTGCGAGGGGCGATGGGGGTATGTGACGAAAGGGGCGGGCCGAGAGCCGTGGGAACGGAGCGAGGCCGGTGGAGTAATTGATAATGAGCGACACCTGCACCACTCACCGGTCTCGAGTCTCACGGAGGAGCTCCGGAAGGATAAAAAGGAGGAGTGATGACAGTGAAAGACGAGAGAGGACCAGGCCTGGAGTTTATTTTGTGTTTTGGTTTTGTTTGTGCACGACAGTCGTCCGCGAGGGGCTGTCGCGCTATTTTGTGTTTGTTTATTTTATTAAAGTTTTGTTTAAATGTCAGCTGGTTCCCGCCTCCTTCTCGATCTACAAACGTTGCTACATCAGCATTATGCAATCTCTTGAGAGGAAGACTATGAATATATACCCCCCCCAATAATCCTTGAAAGATCACCTTTTTTATGTATGAAACTTCACGAAGCAGTTTTTTCATGTGCAGGAAGAGCAAGTTCTGCCTTTTTCTTCTTTACCTTGCCATAGCATATGGCCGTGCTCACTGATGTAATGTTACCTGTATTCATATTTAATCAAAAGTAAAATTGCCATTTCAGTTTGATTATATCCATAATACAAATGCCATTAACATACGACTAATCAACATGATTTCACTAGTATTAATGTTGTTATTGTTACAGCTTAACAAATTGCAGCTGACCTTGCTAGCTAGCTAAACTATTGTAATAATGTCATTCCACTATTGCACAGTGTTGCCGCTTGGCAACACATACATTTGAATGATTTACCAAAAACTAATTTTATAAAAACTTTTTTGAGAGGTGAATATGTCATCATTACAGTGATGTTTTAGATTTTTTTGTAGAAGTGACACGGACTGGTCCTTGTTTGTTACTGCGCAAAACCACGTTCATATTCGCGCGATTTTTTGCGCAGCTCGTCAGTCAACAACGGCTCTGTGTAGTTAATGCTGCTTAATGTGAAAGCACACACGTGATGGAGATTTACCGTTGATTACAGAACCGGCTTTCTGACAAGATGCGCATTAAATATCGCATGCGATTTATCGTGCAGCCCTACTGTGCAGGTAAGAAGTCTTGTTTAACATCACTGCTTAATCTTGCTCCTGAAGTCTCAGTGGAAGACTTACACAGCAGTGGCATGGATATATTTAACAAGGCCTTTAGTTATACAGCGTAAGCTGCGAATGCAACTCCGGTTCAGTTTAAGCAGAGCAGTACTGAGAATTGTTAGTTGATTATCAGATATACAAGGAATCAGTTTATGCTACACAGAAATTTTGTGTCATCTTTTATTAAAGACCTGATCACAAAAATAGTCTTTAATCAATAGTTCAGGAATAGAGAGAAACGCACAGTGTTGGGGGTCTGTGTGTTGTTGGCATTGTCTTTATCCATGGAATCTCTGTTCTGGAATCAGAATAAAGATCTAAAGAGATGTCTTGGCAACCCAGAGTGACAGGTGGACAGCTGCCGGTTCTTAGCAGCAGCTGCTGTGGCAGGAGGAGGACTTAGTGCTGACACCATTTCCACATCTCTTTCTGTCTCACATGCGTTCTGATATCATCATGGGCCAATGTCACTTATAGGGGTGTGGGTATCATTCAAATATTTTCGATATCAGTACCAATACCTTGACGTCGATACCGGTTCCTAAACGATACTTTTTTCGATACCAATTTTATGAAATCTTTATTTTTATTTGGGCTAGTTAAATTAATTTTGGGCTACCAAAATCTAAAGAGTGCCTGCCTGAAGGGCTACCAAAGAGTTTGAATGAAAATGTGTTTATTTATGATGCATAAAATGCTAGCTATGAAATTAGACTTGGTAAGACAAACGAGTTGTCCATTTTATTTCCATTAATGCTGAAAATGTGATTTCCAAAACACTAATTTCCATCACAATACATCATTTGACATGTGGTACAAATGACACTATGGTGGAAAAGTTCATAACTTTTGTAAATTACAATTCTCCTCAGATACATGTATGTTGACTGTTTCACATTGTTAGTGGATAAATAAACCATTGAGAGTGTGAAGTGTGTTTATTTTCTTAAAGTCCAGAGGGACTTTGAAGAAACAGCCTGATGTATGTTGCATTGTGTGCTTTGTCGATCATACATCAGTGATCCCTGCATGCCTTTCTGCTAGCCATTCAACCAGGCCACCAGCACTAATGGAGCTGTTAACATTTACGGCTTGTACTGCCATGGTTGTGCGTGTGTGTGGTCACTTAGTCAGGCTGTAGCATGCCAATGACATCATTCAGACTGGCACACAAATTTAGTGGGGAAAGAAAGAGACGGAGCGTTTGATAAAAAGAGCTTCCGGACAGAATTCAACTAGGTTTTTCTGTAGCCAGTTACATCATCAGTTTGCAGGAAATGCATCTTTGAGCTTTACAAAGTGTCCCACATACAAACTAAACTGTCTGTGGGAATCCTGAAATTTGGCTTCAATGTCTAGCATAGGCCCAGACAGAATTGACAGACTTCTATAGTCTAGTATAGCCATAGTGCTAGAACTTGATAGACTTCATACATTATTCTAACCCCAATCTCTCTCCGATCATGTTCATACAGGCATATGGCCAGGTTCACTCCACCCATAGAAAGGTGGCTGCAGATGGGGAAAGCAGGGAGGAGTCCCTCATCCTTGAGTCAGCATCTAAAGAGGCGTACTATGAGCAGAGAGTGCAGGAACTGCAAGCTGACCTGCGACAAACAAAAAACACCCTCACCAGCACCCAGGCGGAGAATGAACGTCTGGCCACCCATGCACTCGAGCTGAGAGAGGTTTGTGCTGTAGAGGGTTTAATTAAGAGTGTTGAGTTTACTAAACATATTTATAAAACGAACCCAGTGAGTTATGACCCTAGTTATGCTACTTCTATGTTCTATATTAGTCTTTTGTCAACTAAACTTGTTGTGTCTTTAAGAATAATGAGCTTGTGGAGCTACAGCGCAGTCGCCTGCATGACGACATTAGAGAGTACAAGATCCGAGAGTCTCGTCTGCTGCAAGACTACACTGAACTGGAAGAGGAGAACATCAGCCTTCAGAAACAAGTCTCCACCCTTAAACAGGGTCAGGTTAGTAGCATTGACCATTGATCACATCAAATGTGGGTGTGGAAGGGTAGACAAAGCTCATGAATAGTAATCGAAAGGTTGCTGGTTCCAGTTCCAGTCCCAGGACCATCACCATGGAGGCACTTTTGATGAAAGTGTTTTCTTAAAGATGACTACTACTTTCACATAGTGGCATTTATATAAGTCTGCTGTTACCATACCATTTGTCTTTGGTTTGTTTCTCATAAATCTCTGTTCTCTTCCAAAGGTGGAGTTCGAGGGACTAAAGCATGAGAATCGACGCTTGGAAGAGGAAGTGCAGTACCTAAACAGCCAGCTAGAGGATGCTGTTCGGTTACGCGAAATAGCTGAGCGTCAGCTAACAGAGGCTCTAGAAACTGTAAAGACCGAACGGGAGCAGAAAGCAGCTCTTCGAAAAGAATTGACACATCACATGACCCTGGGAGACTCCCTTCTTGCCAGCTCATTGGATGGGCTCAAACTGAGTGCAGATGAACCAAATAACGACGAGGCCATTTTGAAGTTTGAAAACGGATTAGCTAAAGTCAGCGACGTTAACGACGAAGATAATAGATTGTCTTCTCCCAAAAGAGATGGAAACTACCGTCCCGCACCAAGTCTGGTGGATGACTTGTTGACAGAGCTGAACATCTCTGAAATCCAGAAACTTAAGCAACAGCTCTTACAGGTATTGACTATCCTTCGCATTTGATTGGCATTCAACCTTTCGGTCAACCTTGTTGACATAGTCACCTTGTTCCAAACCACATTAAATGTAGCATTTATCCCCTCCATTTCATCTTGCAGGTGGAACGAGAGAAGGTGGCTCTTCTCACCACTTTACAGGACTCTCAGAAGCAGTTAGAGCATGCTCGAGGAGCATTAGCTGAACAGCAGGAGGCTATGACGAGACTTAGCGATGATTTGGGCGTAATGAGGAGATTGCAGGCAGGCAAGGAGCGGCAGTCAGCCCTGGACAGTGAGCGAGAGCGGGACAGTCGAGAGGACAATGATGTGGACTATTATGAGCTGGATATCAATGGACCAGAGATACTTCGCTGCAAGTATGAAGTAGCCATAGCAGAGGCAGGTGAACTGAGGGAGGAGCTGAAGGCACTAAAATCGGAGCATGATGAGGTGAGTGGGACTGAGAAAAGTTGAGTTTTGTTCAGTATTATTTGTTTATTGATGGGTTGATGATTTAGTGTAAACATGATTATGCATGATTCTTCTAGATGAAGGCCGAGCATGAGGAGGTACGGGCACGACTGGAGGGACACGTGCGTGACCTCAGTATTCAAGTGTCTCATTTGGAGAGCAGCAGCCGTGCAGACCGTGATCAAGTCGCTCGGTTGGAAAAGGAGCTGAAGGAAGTGAGTGCAGTTGCCGGCGAGACAGAAGGCAGTCTCAGCGTTGCCCAGGATGAGCTTGTTGCCTTTAGTGAAGAGCTTGCAAACCTCTACCACCATGTCTGCATGTGCAACAACGAAACCCCGAATCGTGTCATGCTCGATTTCTACAAAGAGGGTAAAGGAAACAAGACCGACGGTAAAGATCTTCAGTCTACGTTGACGCAAACCAGTGACAGCACAGCCGAGACACCGAGATCCAACTCCACCGCCGCTGACAGTTCGACTTCTGGGACACCAGTCAGAGAAGATCCACGTCCTGAACCAATGGACATCTACAACCTAGTAGCAATAATTCGCGATCAGATACGCCACTTGCAGAAAGCGGTGGATCGTACCACAGTACTATCTAGGCAAAGAATTGCTTCTCTAGAGTTGGCCGCAGTGGCGGATAAAGACCAAGCTGCTTACATGGAGGAGATTTTGAAGCTCAAGTCCCTGCTGAGCACTAAGCGAGAACAGATTGCCACCCTGAGGACTGTGCTCAAGGCCAATAAACATGTGAGAATAAAAACGATTAGCTTGGCATGGGTGTATATGACGCCAGAATATTGATCTTCTTGTAGACCATCCAACTAGACTGCTAGTTTTTCCAAGAGCTTTTTCTGAACTGTGGTGTGGTTCTGTCCTCTTTCAGACAGCAGAGGTTGCCCTGGCAAACCTAAAGAGCAAATATGAGAATGAAAAGGCCATGGTCACCGAAACCATAATGAAGTTGAGGAACGAGCTGAAGGCTCTTAAAGAAGATGCCGCCACATTCTCCTCTCTCAGGGCAATGTTCGCCACCAGGTAGTGCGGGAACACAACTGAAAGTTGTTTCTCTTCCAGCTTGCTTTGTCTGACTCACCCCAACCAAATAACCAGAAACAGTAGGGTTGCTTAATCCAGGAACTAAATCTCTCCTGCTCTATCCCTCTTTCTCCTTTTATTCTTTAGGTGTGATGAATACGTAACACAATTGGACGACATGCAGAGGCAGCTGGCTGCAGCAGAAGATGAGAAGAAGACTCTGAACTCCCTCCTGCGTATGGCCATCCAGCAGAAACTGGCCCTTACACAGAGATTGGAGGATCTGGAGTTTGACCACGAGCAATCCCGAAGAGGATCCGGTGCTGGGCCAGGCAGCCGTGGAAAGGCTTCATCTGGCCGTGGCAGGGGACCCTTATCGTTTTCCAGTCCCCATGTAAGTCCTAGACTTCCCTGTAAGAACCGACCGCAACCACACGGCCTCATTGGAAGTCCTGCGGTTTTCTGCAGTGAGAAGTATAAAATTCTGTGTGACACTGGATCCGATTAACACCTGTGTGTAACTGTCACTCGTCAGCATAACTAACATTCCTTTTACTGTATGTGTGCTTGGGATAAAACAATGCTAGCATGTCACTGTTTATGCTAACAGTTCTGATGGCTTCATTAATACAAGTCAGTCAGTCCTTCTCCTATAAATCTACCTGGAGAGATTGGATGGCTTGGCAATGCCATACTATCTACTAAAGTTATCACAATCACTACAAGTAAAAGAAATTACTACAATATTTTTTTTTGTAATAGGCTAATTCCAATATTTGGATACCAAATTGAGTCTCTTTTGTGACTTATTATCGAGGAGTACCAGTACTCTTGACATTTGTACTACTTACAGTACTAGTTTTTTGAAAGAAAGCAGGTTGTAGTGCATGCAAAGTTCTGGTATGCATTGATTAACTGCATGACCTACCACATTTGACATTGTTTAGTATATAACCAGAGCACACTGTACAAACAGATAAATTGGATTCAGTTGCAACTAAACTCGCTGAAACTTGGATATCTATAAACAAGTATTGAGGAAACGATACTTGGAAAATGTCTAAACATGGTAAAATACATTTACATTTGTCTAAATTTGTCTTTTCTCTCTGAATGTCTGAGCCCAATGTTTCTACTTTCACCCAACCAGCATTGATTGTCATTGAGTTCAACCCAGTTTCACAAAGCTAGTCTGTTAATCTCTGTGTCAGTGCAAATAAATCTGTGTAATCCCGACAGAGACGCACTTTACTGAGCCTGATGGGTGCTTTGCAATCCAGGTTGCAACCCTAAAGGACATAATTGATGCTACAGATTTTGTGGCTAAAAAATGACAAAATTGAGAGTTGTCATAGATGATGTCTAGAATTATAGAGTTTTTTGCACACTTTGTCATCCGTGTCTTTTGTTGGTTTTGTTCATACTATTTCATCTAGCCTTTCAGCCAGCATAACACATTGTCCATGTTGTCTTTACAGTGTGACTCTGAACCACTGTAGCATGCATGATCTGTTGCTCTCAGTTTTAACCGTTTATATTAGTTGGCATGCTGTCTGTTGAGTCTTTTGCTTCCTGCAGTCCATTGCATCTGGAAAAAATGAGTCTTCCCTGTTTTGCTGTGTACTAATGGGTCTAACCTGTCTCAGTGTTGACGGTAACTTTCACTATGTCCAGTGTGATCAGCTTGACTTAAGATAAATTAATTATTTACAATACATTTGGATCAGTTGTGATGTAATATTTCTGATGATCGTTTTGTTTCTCAATTTTGCAGTAATTTTATTAGCTCTGGAGATTATCCGCAAATGGTTATTTCCCTCTTCCTTCGCTCTGCACATACGTCCAGAATACACATGTCTGCTCCAATTATGGAAACAAGAAATTTGTCCCTGGATGTGGCTGCAAGAAAACACACAGGCTCACATGTAAAGCCAACCGATCTATGTAATCATGATTCTGACTGTTACTGTGGTATTTTTTTTCTGCTTTATTTTTGTTTAATGTGCACCTTTAGTTCATTAGTTATGTAAGAGATGCACATTTCAGTATACTTGGCACATTTTTTTGTTTTGTTCTTGCGAATGTTATGTATTTAACTGAAAAACAAAAATAATATAAGAACTGTGGTTTGTTTATAGTCTTTTATGCTTAACTGTCAGGGTCTAAGCATATTCCAGGGAGAACGATTATGTTAATAAGGCCTATATTTGTTTCTTGTTCTGTTCAATAGTCAAACATTCTAACTGAACATTATCTTGCTATCATGTAGTGTAGCTCCACTTAAGGAACAATAAGTTTGACTTTGACTGAAAAGTTTGGAGTCAATTTTCATAGTGGGTCAAGCATATGTTAAATTCAAGACATAAAAATCTATATCAATTCCAAATTGGAATACTTTCTACTTTTTTGCCAAATACTGCATTAAGGTCAGCATTTTGTATTTTACATTGCAATACATATTTGTTTTAGACATTGATTATCTGTTTTGTATTACCCTCTCATAAGACCTCCTGTGCCTTTTATGCAACGTTTGATGAACAATTCTAAGAGCCATAGTCTTCAGTATTTCTGTCAGTCTCGCTATAGATCTAGCCCACTTGGCCCACATCTAATTTGGACAATAATTAAACATTTTCGGAATGTCAACTCAGATTGCTCGTTTAGGAGATTTTAAATGTTATTAGGCGTGTTAAAATCATACATTCCTTTGAGGAAGTAATGATTTCTGATGGCGGTCATCATGGCTGTCTGTAGATATTGGTAGTCATTATTTTCCTATGCGTAGCCTTGCTAATAATTTTGTTATTTGTTTGTATTTCAGCAAGCAGAAAACTTTGCCTCAGAACATTAGTGCCATTTAAAATTTAAGACGTTTTAAAGTTTTAAAAGACCTTTTTCTTTTCTTTTTCGTCTGACTACAAATTAAGTGCAATTTTGTGCTGTTTCTGGAGTGTATGCAATAGTTTTCTATTTGCTGAAACCGCTTCATCAGCCATGTCATAGCTTTATATGACATTTTGAATTTATTTTTACACATTTTTATGGAATGACCTCACATGTTTGTTATTATTTATTCATAACCTTGGCTATCAGTTCAGTATTAATGATTAGGTTTGTATGCATTATTACTGGCACATGTGCTGCCTCTTTGCATTTCTACTTGAAATCTTACAGGTACAATGTAAGCTATACTGCCTCGCCTGTGTTTTTTTTTTTTTTTTACAGTGCTGATGTCAATGTTCTGCTTTTTTTCTAAACATTTGTGCTCTGTAGTTTATCAGGAGGAACACATTATAGGCCCATGTCTGTCTTAACATTTCTCATTGACAAAAAAAGTAGCAAAAAAATTAATAAATAAACTAATATAAAATATTACTGTTTGTTTCAGGTTGTATATTAGTTGTTGAAAATTAGCTTTGGTCCTCAAATTTGGTCAAACAGATTTCCATGAGTCCAACAGTGCTGGGATGTTTCACTGTTGGCATCTTTTCGCTTGACTATATTCATGATGTTACAGATTATATGAGCAGTGCTGAGTGAAAGCAGAGTGGGGAAAGAATTTGAAAAGAACAGGCCGAGTGCTTTTTCCATATACTTCATTGTTTTTTGAACGATTTAAAATGATATAATATGAATTACTGTTTTCTAAACTAAAGCAATATCACACAATTGTTCAAATCAGGGTTGTGGTAGGCCTAATATTAAGAAAATAATATTTCCTGCTCAACATAAATTTATTAGGAAATATAGCAGATTAGCAATAGCAATTATTCTTGGGTAAGGTTTATTTATTTTCGAAAGTCTTATATTTTGGGCTAAACAACAACAACACATTTCCGTTATCTCTGAACTGAGTTGGTGACACTGGTAGGACATTATATAAGTGTAAAAACATGGTATATGGGTGGTTAGGGTTAGGAATATGCCTTTAAACCGTCAATTATAGGCTATATGGTCGAACGTGTATCTATAAATATTAATATTATTTATTTATATAATATAAATTATATTTATTATTAAAATCGTTTTAGATAAGAGTGTAGCGCTCACTGATTACTGCATCTAATATTCTCATATTCAGTATAATCTCTGATACTAAGGGAATTGAATCTAGACTTTACACTAAATATAAACTGTATTTGCGTGAACTTCCGTATGTGACTTTTCCCCTTTTCCTCATTTTGATCGGGACTTCCGGTATTTCTCACCATGGTCTCCGCCCCTCCACATACAATGCAATGGGCGTTTCCAAACAAAAGACAGCAGAGGGCACTTCAAAATGGGAGGTCAGTCAAACTTATATTTGTTACTGCTGATGTGAAGTATAAATATGAACTATAAACCGATCATTTTTACTTTATAAAGTGTGCTTTATAGGATCCTTATAAGTTACACGCTGCTCACAAACTTGAGCTGCTTCGACAAGTTTTGCTTCGACAGTTGTCGTTGTGCTCCATTACGGTGCATTAAAGTCCACCCTGCTTAATATGTTACATTTCAGAAGCTCTATAATCCGTTAATATAATATTTCCGAACTTTTAAGGCGTTTGGTTGGCTAAAAGACATTTAAATAACTCTCAATGTACCTCAGAAGTATGTTTGCCAGTCTTGCGTTCCCAGTCAGTGTCTGCTCAATGTAATATTTATGAAGTGGCTCCATCTTCTGGCTGAAATGTGCACAGTATTTATTTAGATATTTGTTACTAGACAAATAGGGATTATTCAAAGGAATAGTTAATCCAGAAAATTACAATTTGATGATTTACTCACTCAACCTGTATGGCTTTATTTCTGTGTAAATGGCAGAGAGCTTCCATGAACAGCTGCGAATAGACAGCCGGTTCCTGAAATCGGACCGACGTCTAGATACAGAACTGGTGGATAAACTCATCCTGCAGCTCAACAGAATCTACCCACAGATCCTGACTGACAAGGAGGCCTCCAAGGTAAGAGCTCCACCCTTAGTATCTGCAGCCGTGACGTCAAAAACGTCTGACTAATTCACCAGGGGTTACATCAAGATGTTCCTATGGGGTTTCTGAGTAAAACAAGCTCTGTGGTAAACACAAATTAACTATACTTGGACTTATTGCTCTACAACGTATATTACGCACACTTATACTGAAAATGCTAAAAACATTTTCATAATACATAACCACATAAGACCGTTTGTTGTGTAAGAGTGTGCAGCTGTACAATAAAACGTTCAAGTATTGTCAAGCAGTGTTTACCACAGACCTTATTTTACTCCTGCACTGGAAAAACCCCATAGGAAAATCTCGAGGGAACCCATGGTGAATTAGCCTTCCGGGTTTTGATATCACGTCTGCAGCACTTAATACAGATAAACAGTCCAATCGTCAAAATTTGTATGTTATTTCTCTCTCCAATAATGATTTTCCCAAACATTAGTTCAGGGATTTGGATGTGCCCACCTGTATCAGGCTGGCGGAGCTGCTGAATCATCTACAGGAGAAAGGAGAGGAGGCATGTCGAGAGTTTTACAGCGCACTGCACCTCCACGTGGAGGACGTTTATTTCAGTTTACCCACACGCCTCCGACTCCGAGGTTGGCAGAGTCATCATTTTCCACACATAACCACTCAAAAACAACATTCTTTTGAGGATGTTCAGTTAGTTTTGCCGTGCAGCATATCGTTTCTGATTCATAGTGGTGATAGAAATGTATTTTATGGAGTAGCTGACCCAAAAATTAAAATTCGATGAAAATTTACTCACCCTCAGGTAGGGCTGTGCAAAAAATCGAATGCGATTTTCATGCGCATCTCATCAGTTAAGCCGCTCCTGTGATTAGCAGTAAATCTCCAGCACATGCGTTCAGATGGAGCGGCATTTACTACACAAGAGCCGTAGTTCACTGACAAGCTACACAAAATCGCATTCAAAATCGGCAATGAATCGCCTGCGATTTAAGGCCATCCAAGATGTAGATGCGTTTGGTTTCATCAGAACAAATTTGGATCAATTTCATTAAGGCTTTTTTTCTTTTTTTCTTAAAACCATTTCCTTTGGCTAAAATATCTATAATATAGCAATATATATAGTATTGCTATCTCCAGTGAAAGAATTGTCTAATCTGAATCAGGAGAGAAATATGCACAGATTAAGCACCGTTTACAAGTTAAAAAAAAAAGTTCTAAACTAATATGTTACGTTAACATTTGGATGCATTATTATTTGGCCGGAAGCGACATTTTAAAGTTAAAAATGACTGAATGATTTTCACTTCACAAGATGTGAATTGATTCACTGCAGAGGATCCATTGGTGAGCAAGTGATGAAATGTTACATTTCTCCAAATGTGTTCCTATGAAGAAACAAACTCATCTACATCTTGGATGGCCTGAGGGTGAATACGTTTTCAGCTGGGTGAACTGTTCCTTTCAGCCTGTTATTAAGCTTGACTTTGAAGTCTTTTCGGTTTGACCACCAAGTTTTATTTGTTTTTGTAGAGTCTGGTGAACCAGTTGTCCCAATCACGAGTCCCAAGGACAGATATGTAATGAATGACCATAGTAAGTCAACCTTTTCAGTGATTATGCACTAGTAAATGTACACAATTTACATGAATGATGTCCCATCATGGACCACAAAACCAGTCTTAAGTCGCTGGGGTATATTTGTAGCAATAGCCAACAATACAGTGTATGGGTCAAAATTCTCAATTTTTCTTTTATGCCAAAAATCATTAGGATATTAAGTAAAGATCATGTTCCACGAATATATTTAGCTAATTTTCTACTGTAAATATATCAAAACTTAATTTTTGATTAGTAATATGCATTACTAAGGACTTCATTTGGACAACTTTAAAGTCGATTTTCTCAATATTTTGATTTTTTTTTTTTTTTTGCACCCTCAGATTCCAGATATTCAGATAGTTGTATCTCGGCCAAATATTGTCCTAACAAACCATACATCAATGGAAAGCTTATTTATTCAGCTTTCAGATGATGTATAAGTCTCAATTAAAAAAAAAATTGACCCTTTTGACTGGTATTGTGGTCCAGGATCTCACACACACGGAGGACAGAGGAGCCTCTTAAAGAAGAAGTTACAGGTCTGTGAGAGCCAGAAATCTTGCTTGTTTGTAGGTGACCAAATACTTATTTTACCGAGGAATTTACCAATTAATTCTTTAAAAATCCTACAATGTGATTTTCTGGATTTTTTTTCTCATTTTGTCTCTCATAGTTGAGGTATACCTATGATGAAAATTGCAGGCCTCTCTCATCTTTTTAAGTGGGAGAACTTGCACAATTGGTGGCTGACTAAATACTTTTTTTCCCCACTGTGTATTTGTCACTGCGCAGGTCCGTTTTTCTTCCTTAGTTGTTTCAGTTTGGCTGTAGGAGCAGCTCTGCTGTATTACTATGGTGGTAAGTACACAAACTTGTTAATATCTTAATACCCACATCAAAAATATGCATTTCCTAGACTGAAAGCACTCAAAATGTTTTTTTTTTTGCAGAGTCCAAGCAGGTGTCAGGCTCCAGCAGTGCTCTGGGTCTGGCTGCGATGGGTCTTAGTAGAAAAGTGCGGGACGTTCTCATCTGGTACACAGAAGATGGAAAATGATGGCTTTTTTGCTGCCTTAAAAAAGGAATTTAGACACAGCAATTGATTCTGAAATACTCCGTTATCCTTGTCAAAAATATATAAAAAAAATGTAATTCAGGTTTTAAAAAATATGTACATACTATGTATAATAGAGAAATTATTGTTAGAAATCAGAATTAGAATGGCAAAATTCCAAAGATTTCATTTTTAGGTTTCATGGCTAAATCTGGAATCTCTTGTAACAATTTTAAATATAACAATTGAATGGTTTATATAACTGCTTAATATTTTTAAACAAAAAACATCACAGTCATTGAAATAATAGCAATTTATATGCAATACCAAGGGCAGGAACTCATTACTTTTAAGAAAAGTTGTATAGGAACCAAACTCGCAACTTGCACTAAAGTATTTAGTTGAAGTTGAAACGCTGAGCTGCTCTGTTAATGTTGCAACCCTAATTTTGTTTGTGCATTTGTTTTATTGTACTTTAAAAATAGACATCAAACTCATTTATATATTATTTATAGTCAGTATCTTTCCATTCTCACAGACTTGGGACTTGCCAAGAGATTATAGTAGTAAAATGTTGGAGGTTTATAATTCACTACGCCATTTAGTACATGCAAAACTGGGTAAACTTGACAAATCAAATAGATCAACGTGTCAATATTTAGACACGTAAGACAATAAAGACTACAGATAACGATAACTTATAACAGATAAGTCCAGTATCTTGGAGTATTAGGAGTTTGTTACTTTGTAATACCTTTTTTGTGGGCTAAGTTTTCAACAAATATGTTTATATTGTTTGCTTACTTTTATACTAGCAGCATGTTTGTACTGGTTTGTGTACTAATAATTAATATTGTCAATTTACACTTGTGGCCTTGTTTCTGCAGTGCAACTGTAAGTATTTTATAAAACTTTTGGCCTGGAAATTTTCAGATGAATTTGCAAATGGGGCACATTCACAGTAGTTAACTGAGAAACTATATTTTTTGTCAGGGGTTAAAAAAATGATTAGGCTAAATAAAAGTGTGGAACTGTTGCTAATGTACTTGGAGATGAATTTGATTTCCACATCTTGATATATCAAAACAAACACTTGACTAGTTGCAAAAAAATGATTGCTGAAAAATAGTTTTATTGATGTCAGAATTATTGTTTTGTCCTTAAATGCAGCCGATTTAGGACTGAAGAAGACCAGTGCGAATGAATCACTCGTTTAAATGATTCGGTTCAGTCACAACGACTCACTTAACAGTGACTTACTGCCACCTATTGGCGGTTTTAATTTCACATTTAAAGTATCTTCATTTTTTAAATTATTTCAAATATCAGTATTCAATATTTTATGTTTAATATATCAAAACATTATTTATGCATTTGTAACTGCAGGTTAAATGCATTCATGTTCTGCATTAAACAATGTGTAAACACATCTAAATGCCAATTCAGATGCAGCTTATGTCTGGATTGCAAAGATGAATTTTGTTGATACTGATTTCATTTGCTTGGTAACAGCCCAAATGTCTTATTATTCTTATTCACTGATTAAATGTAAGAATTTGACTCAAAAGATAATGCACACTTATAGAAAAATGGCTTTATAAAGGTAAAATGCCCATAAAAGGTCAAATCTATTTAAACTTATCTGACCACCACACAGAATATGAAGAATATCAAAAACTATAGGAGTCAGTTGTCCACGAAAGTCCTGAAGATACCAGCATGATAGCACACTCAATCAGTTGAATGAATGACTCAATACTCACTCATTCAGTGACTTACCGTCACTTACTGGTAGTTTAGTTGAGAAGTATGTTGAAAAGTATGCATTTTTCCCCTCAACATTTCTTATTTGTATACTCATAAATGCATTTAAAACATTAAGCTCATAACATTATTTATTGCAGTTGTAATTATTGTTATTTGCAGTGTAAATTATTTAATCTGACTGGTAGCAGCCCTATAGTGTATATTGAATTTATTGATAAATTGTAATAATTTGACATGTAAGATGATGCATACATCTAAAAAGGTTAAAAAATAGGCAGATATGCAGATTTAAGTACGTAAAAGCTGATAGAACACTGATGAAAATATTGCTTCAGAATAAATTGTTTACTCCACCAAAAATCTCAGTGATGCAGTTATTTTGCGGAGATATTTTGTATGGAATATTGTCTGCTGACATGAAAAGTTCACTGTATATCATAGCAATAAATAGCATTTATTACAGCATTGATATTTTGTTTTCTTTTTAATTTATACACATTAAATATTACATATATGTATGTAATAACATGTGTTTTTCTGTTACAGGTTTAGGTCTTAAATTTCATATAAGGTGGTATTAAAAAGGTCTGAAAAAGTCTTAAATGTAACTTGTTCAAGTCTGCAGAAACACTGTATACAAACAATATCTATATAAAATGTACAAAAAGTCCAAGAAACGCATAAACATATGGATAGTAAATAATCACAACAAACATCAAAACACTAAACAACATTACAATTTAAAATACAAATATTTCAAGGAAAAAGGCAATATGCTTGCCTAGTCAGTAGATTGCGCTCTTATACAAATTCTCAAAATCAATTTCTGACGTTTTGGGGTTAATAAAAGAAAAAACATGTGCTGTATTTATGATACTTAATCTTCACTTCCAGAGTTCTGTAAGAAAAATATCAGTTTTGCTAAAGTGCCGATTTAAACACTCTTCACTGCAATTAAAATAGACTTCTTTGACGTTGTAAGCAATTTATCATTCATGCAGTAAATTAGACCTGTAAGTAAAAACAAATACAAACGTGCTGCGTGCAAGAGAGTTGCATTGTGTTGAACCACACGTAAAATGAGTCCATTTTCCCCATATAGACAGCTGATACAGTGATCAGGTAGGCAGTATGAAGGTCCCATGTGAGGTGAGGTGCTACTCTCCATTTCGGGCTTGAAAGGTATTGTCTGACTAGTTTCTGTCTTGATTATTTTCAATCTCGGTAATGATCCGATTAAAATAGGCTATCCAATCCAATTTCACAATTGATGCATTTTAACAACGTGAATTATATAATTAAACGATTACCCATAAAATAATTACATGTAGTTGCGTTTTTTAAATTAACTTTATATTACTTAAGGCAGGGCTGTACAGTGCGACATATATAGTTTTGTCCCAAACCTGTATTAATTTATTTCTTGTGCTGAACACAAGAAGACATTTTGAAGAATGTGAGTAACCAAACAGTTGCTGGTCCACACTGACTTTTACAGTAGGAAAAAAATACCATGGAAGTTACTGTGGACCAGCAACTGCTTGGTTACCCACATTCTTCAAAAATAACTTTTATGTTCAACAGACAAAATAAATTAATTCAGGTTTAAAACAACTTGAGTAAATGGTGGTATAAAAATGAAACACTATTGAAAGACATGATCTTTTAATGTTATAAAACAACAAAACAGAAAAAAAATCACTCACTGCTCTTGTTGCTTTAAAAAAAAAAGTATAATTGATGTATACAGTGTTTTATTTTAATATTTGTTCATTCAATTTCTTGAATGCTACTGCTAAATACTGTACCTGAAAAATAAAATGTTGTAAATACTGATAAATACTGTACCTGAAAAATGTTCTTATTTTCTAATAACAATTTTATCTTTGCTAACTTTGCCTAAATGTCTGCCATTGTTTTTTATTTTATATTTTGTTAAGGTGTAAGAGGTGTTATGTTTCTGCACTCTTCCATTTTTAGCAAATTAAGAAAACTTTGTCTAAAACTATTTTTGTGATGGTTTGTATTTTTTGTGCTCTGTATGGAACATCAATGCGTGTTTAAGTGATGAACTCCATTACTTGTGTTTGTTTTCAGACGTTTTATACTTGTGCTACAACTTTTTGGCCAGTGCTACAAAACTTTCAACCTCTGTAGCACCAGTGCTATGTGAAAAAAAGTTAACGTACAGCCCTGCTTAAGCTGTTATTAGCTCATTTTGGGACTAAAAAAAGTTTCTGCAAAACATAAGGCATATTTACATCGAGGCACATTTGAATATGTCATGACAACTTGCTTGATGTTTGATAGTAAATGTCCAAAAATGTGTAATTGTATGAAATCCTAAACTCATGTTGCCAGTCATGATTTTGTGTCCTCTGGTCTTTGGACGCCAAATGCTGTGATGAAAACATTTACTACTACGATGACAAAGACGAGAGCTGTGACGATGTTCTCCAGAAGATTCAGTATGTAGTGTTTACTTGTGTCATTCAGATTCCACTTCACTGTAGAACAAGAGTAATAACAGCAGCTCATTATGTAATTCAGAACATTTAAGAAAAGGATATTTAACAGCTTCTTAAATTAAAATGAAAGGCTAAAATCGGACAAAACGATTATAACTATATGGTGTTCATCATTCTATAGAGCAAGTGTCAAAACCTCTAGCACCACACACTTACTCACAGCTCATGTTCAAAAGAACTTGCATGACTAAAACTTTCGATACCAAAGATGAAGCTCATTTTCCATTAATTAGAGCCTGATTGTGTTCACAGCGGATTCTGGTGTAAAGACAAGAGTTGTGTTTGAGGAAATAGGAATGATTGCTAGACATGTGACGTTGGGGGCTTTTTGAAGTTGAGCAGAGAATATTAATATTTCTCAAATTGGGACTGAATCTCTTGATATGATTCATATGATAATTAATCTGCTCTTACTCCCACTATGTGGACAAAAAAATAAAAATAAAAGCTGTTTTACATCTTTAAAAATGTCTGATGGGAAACACCAAAGTGCTGCAGGATTGACTTTCACCACCTGATATATTCATGTTGAAACTATATTTATTACATACAAATATTTGTGTATAGGATCAACCTCTCTACAATTTCTGTACTTAAAGTACTGTTTTGGTATGCATAGCGCATTTATCAGTTCTCCTTCTAGACAGTTATTACTGGATTGAATTGCCAAATGTTAAAAGAATTCACCCAAAAGTTACATTCCTGTCATTGTTTACTCACCCTCATGTCTTTCAGAACCCAGTAAGGAAGACTGTTCTTTTTTAGAACACAACACAAATGGAATTTTTATTACAGCAAAACATCCATGCTGCTTTTTTCTATATAGTAAAACTGAATGGTGACCACTGCTGTCAAACAGGATCTTCAAGGCAAGATTTTGGTAAAAGTGATGACTTGTATTTCAATCTGTTCCTCAAGCAAATGACCTCAAAAGACTAGGATTAAAGTGCTTAAATTGTACTGACTAGTTTAATGTTTGTTTTTTGAAGACCAGCATGAACATTCTTCAGAACGTAATACAGAGTCATACATAGGTTTGGAAATACAGTGGGGCAAAAAAGTATTTAGTCAGCCACCAATTGTGCAAGTTCTCACACTTAAAAAGATGAGAGAGGCCTGTAATTTTCATCATAGGTATACCTCAATTATGAGAGACAAAATGAGAAAAAAAAAATCCAGAATAAAGAGAATTTTCACTTTTCGTTGAACTACTCTTTTAATATTTAAATACTGCTTTGCATACTACACTACCAGTTTGAAAGGTTTAATTTAAATAGTTTCTCATGTTTTTTTTAAAGGGTATTTATATTATAAAAGGTGATATAAACTTTTTGGGCCACTGCATGTGATATGATGTTCATACTTCAATGTCTTCATTTTATGCAATATGAAGTACTATATGAAATAGGGTGTGATACTGCTAATCACAGTATGTTTTGTTTTACAGAAGCAAATCTAATCATGTATAAAATCACTATTGTCTATATTTTGACACATGTAAACTTAAAACTCAGTTTGGTTGGTTTCTCTCACCTATGAAGATAAGCAAGACCCCCACGATGATCTGTAGGATGAGGGAGATGCTGATGAGGCTGATGAGAGGAATGTAGAAGGAGAACGTGGGTCCCAGCTCCAGGATGGTCTTCAGCTGGGAGGCGTTGGCCATCAGCAGCGCGATATCCAGCATGCTCTCTGCTGCACTCTTCTTATTGGCATAGTGGTTCATGTTAATTGGGGTGTTCCTTGACCAGTGGCTCTGCCGAGGACGCTAAACACACACACGTGATGTTACTTACTACATCCATGGGAATGAGACAAGGTAATGAGTACATGGGCATCATACAATGTTATTGTTTACAGAGAAAGATGGAGGAAATCGGTTTCTGGGTCCTTGTTAGGACAACTTTGCTATCAACCAGATTTTAGGGTTTGGGTTATCAAACAGTATTATCAAATAATGTTGCTTAAGTCTCTTATTTAAGAGGTATAGTTTGGGGTTAATGCTCTGACCAGATTTGAGGACCAGGTTGTTGATACAGTATAACAAATTACTTGGGTAAATCACAATATGCTTTCAAGTGAGGCTTACAATTAGCATAGAATTTGACGCACACTGGTTTTTTTCTGACCTGCAATATTTTCTTCTGAAATTTGAGTCATGGGTCATCTATGGTCATATTTCTCAGCTTTAGAAGGAAATGAAAGTCACTTGTGTTTTTTTTTGTATGTTTGTAGCATGTGAAGGGAAGGGGTGAGTGGTTAGTTGACCCTGACATAATTTCCTTCCTTCTGTTTAAAACAGAAGTCATTGCTACAGGGTTATAGAAACCTCTGCACAACAGAAACCTCTCAAATGTCAAATTAAATTCCTTAAAGCTTTCATCCCAGAAAGCAAGCAACCTTAGAAACATTGTTAAACCAATGTTGATGCCTCAAATCTAACTGCATTGAATTAATGATACAAAGTGGGGTTGGTTCAACATCACTTTTGCACCCGTAATTAATGTTGAAACAATGGCAAGTTTTTAACAAAACATCAATGATAATATCATTGAATCACTGTTATGAAGTGACATTGTTAAACATCACTTTTGCTCCCGTAATTAATGTAGAAACAATAGGGATATTTCAACAACAAAGGTAATGTCACTCAATCAACATTATGAAGTGATGATGGTTCAACATCACTTATGCATCCTCAGTTAATGTCGAATTATCAAAGAAACAACGATTATGTCACTGAATCAACATTATGAAGTGATGGTGGTTCATCACTTATTCACCCTTAGTTCATGTTGAAACATGTTACATTTTCAAAAAAAGAAAAAGAAAACAACACTAATGTCACTGAATCAACATTATGAAGTGATGATGGTTCATCGCTTATTCACCCTTAGTTAATGTTGAAACATTCATATTTCAACTACACTTCAATGGAACAATTAACCCATTCCTGACCGCTTCATAGTTTGGGGAAACCCTTTTAAAAGGAAAATGACACCTTTCCAGCAGTTAAGTCACTTTATTTTTTATTTTAACAGTTTAACACAATCAATGACAAAAAGATACAACATATCAGTCTTTTAAAAATAAAAGTGGGACAAAAACAATTTAACCTTTAAAATGGTTAGTTTCAGGAGTCTGATGACAGACTAAAGGTGGTCCAGTGGTTCAAGTTTTAGAAGCTGGCTTACATCAGACTGCTGCCTTTCTTCCTTTGGGTTCTCCTGAATCTGAAAAAGAAAGCATAATGCCGCTTAAGAGCAAGTCAATTAATTTGTCATACACAGTCACATTCAGGAATGTTAATATGTTAAACACAATATGATTAATTTTTTAGTTAACACAAAAACATTCCAACTATGATTGTAGCATCATTAAATTATATTTAATCTATTAGCTCAAACCTATTCACACTTTAATATCAATAGTTTCTACGATAAAAATGTATAAATAAAAGCACAATGGCAGGGATGTCCAATTTCTTCAGCCGAGTTTATTAACAGCTAATGAATGTTTTTATGATCACTGGAAACTTCCAGGCAGGTGTGTTGGATCCGTGAACTCGAAACTCAGCATGAAGCTGGCCACCTCTGAGTTATGGCCATTACTCACAGGAAAAAGTATGGGATGGGAACATTAGTCTGTAAATAATATAATAAGCTGTACAGTGGATTCACCTTATTTAGACTTTAATCTCCTTAAATGTCACAAAATGGCCTCTACCGCCACTTTCTCATAAACAAGTAGTTTTTTTGTGATTGTGTTTAAGTGGAAACAGGCTAAACTGAATGGAGATCAGTTACATTCATCACATTTACAGTTTTTCTCAATCAATTTGACACATTTTTCCAAACTCAGGTCACTGTTCTCAAAACAGTTAACACAGTGATCTGAATACTATCTTTTCCTAAACAGATTGAATATTTTCATTCACTTCATACAAATTACAAATCATGCAAATAATTTTCTCAAAACAATGTGCACAAAACTCTCTGTTTTCACAATAGTTAATTCAGGACTGTCCAAACTCGGTCCTGGAGGGCCGGTGTCCTGCAGAGTTTAGTTCCAACTTGCCTCAACACACCTGACTGGAAGTTTCTATGCCCAGTAAGAGCTTGATTAGCTGGTTCAGGTGTGTTTGATTAGAGTTGGAGCTAAACTCTGCAGGACACCGGCCCTCCAGGACCGAGTTTGGACAGCCCTGAGTTAATACAACCAACCAATACTTTAAATAGCTGAAAAAAGGCTTTACACAAATCACAAACATTTATGAACCATTTGTCCAAACACAATAAACAAAGCTCTGTAATGTCATTCGATCAAATTAACATAGTATATTTTCAATTGGCCCTAAACTGATAACTGCTCTGTTAATTATGCACTCAACACAGGAAATGCAGTTTTCCTAATCGTTTACACATTTATCACAATTGCTTTAGAGTAATAATAAAAGGGAAAGTATACAAAGAGCAAGAACAAATATGCAAATAATAATAATAATAAAATATAGTAAAAATGAAATAAATCAATAAGAATTGAAATAAACATGTATTTTCATTAGCATATTTGTGCATCTACAGCTGAATGTGCATGTTTTATAATCAATAGAGAACCCACCTATTTGATGTTAATATTTACTTTTAATAAATGCATTACTAGAAATAATTGCAGTGCTTCATTTTGCAGTAAAGTTGAACTGTTTGGTTAAGATAATTTTGTGTTTGGATGGCTGTGCTAATTGTTTTGAGAACAAGTACATTGCATTGGAGAAAAGTGTCAAATCGATGGATTGTAATACTAATTGAGGAAAATGAATGATTACCTGATAAAGCAGTAACTGGAGAGCAGGACATATACAGTAGCACAGGATAGCATCAAGTCCCCGGTCAGGTGATCATGCTGTTGACTACATCTCAACATATAATTAGCGTCACCATTATTAGGTGGGTGCTTCTCATTTCTGTAATTGTCCATCCTCACCTGCCTTTACTTCTACTAAAGCAAGGGTGTCCAAACTCGGTACTGGAGGGCCGATGTCCTGCAGAGTTTAACAGCTAAACTCTGCAGGACACCAGCCCTCAGAACCGAGTTTGGAGACCCCTGTGCTAAGGGAAAGAAAAGAACGCAAGATGCTATGCAAGCATTTAGTATATATGTAAGACATGGGCTGTGTATAAACTGACATTCTTGCTCAGGGTTGTCACTTGCACTTCAAGAAATCTGCTTAATGTTGTAGGAAAGTAAATTCCTACACTTAATTTTGATGGTCCACTTTAGTCATTCTCTAACATTGCACCTACATGTCAGCTAACTCTCATTAGAGTATTAACTTGAAAGGAATAGACAAATAATAGATGTAGATGCAACATTGTTTAACTTGTGACTGGAAACACTTGTTATTTCTTGGTCTCTTCTGCTGACCACTGCTGAACTGAAATACTTAATTGTTAATGTTGTTAATTTACCTGAACCTCGAACTGCTTTTAAAAATTGCACCTTTCAAATGGTGATCTATAGTGGATGCTTCGTCCTACGATATGATACCTACCTATGATAGGTTCCCTTGTTTGAGACCAGCAAGGTTTCGGGGCCGGTTCAGAACTAGATCCTGGTCTCAGGATTTTTCTGAGACCACTTTTCGACTGGTGCTGAGTGGCACTCATTCAGAACTGGCTCGTGTTTCCACTGGCAAGGAGCAGAACCCTCTGTTGGCGCTTTTCCACTGCGTGGTACGACTCGGCTCGGTACGGCTCAGTACGGGACGGGAAGGCTCCGCTTGGCTTTCCACTGCAGTTCAGTACCGCTTTAGAGTGGGCGGGATTATTCACATGTCGTTATAGTTGCGCCGCCTCTACTGCCGCGACTGCTAAAAAACTTTTTCATTCCTCGTCGCCCCATCAAGCTCTCGCTGGATCCGCTCCTCTGCTATCAATGAGAGGAATGTCTGTACTTCCTCAACAGGGGGAACAGCCACTTTTTGGTTGTTAAAAAAGGTGCGCTCATTCAAAACAGTTGCGTTCGATCCTTCGCTGTCTGTGCTGATTTAAATCTAGTGCTTCTTTTGTGTTTGTGTCGCAAGTTCAGTGACGCAGGTAGTGACGATTCTCTCCGGCCAATCAGTGATCAGCAGAGTTTACACGTCACGTTTTGGTAACGGTACAGTACGCTTGGAACCCCAACCGAGGTGGTACTAAAAAAAGTACCAGGTACCAGGTACTGTACCCAGTGGAAAACCCCCCAAAAGTGAACCATACCGAGCCGTACCGTGCAGTGGAAAAGCGCCATTAGTCACCAACATGTGACTGCAATCGCTTGTTATCTCTTGTGGAAGGAGAGCGTTGATCTCTTCTGCTGACCATTTCTAAACTGACATACTTAACTGTTGTGTTAGTGTTATTAATTTACCTGAACTCTGGCAGCATTTAAAAAAAAAAAAAAAAAGTGCAACCCGGTTCCCATTAGGGCTCTGGCACCAGTCCCGGTGTAAAAATTGTTATTTGAGAAGTGCACATGAAGGACCAAAATGGGTGTTTCTTAATAATTTTCAAGCTACAATAGGGGTTTTTCAACTGCTTTACTGGAAGACCCACTGTTAAACCAAGCCACCAGTGGATTAAAACAAATCAGGTAAAGCAGTTGAACAATGCCCATCATGGTTTGAAAATGCTCCACTGACTGATTAACACTCAACAGAATTCTGCAAAGATATACTTTTATGATGTCGTGGTCATCAACAACAAATCAATATTAGTTCAATATTCCTGTCTCCAGCCATGTGTACTGTCAGCTTACATCAAAAGTTCAATGTTGAACCAACATACTTTAAATACTGAAATGTCAGCCTCAGCCAAGATGATGGTTTGGTTGAAAACTCAACATTGTGTGCAATCAGTGCTATCTGGGATTTCAGTAGAATGTTCAATTTGTAACTGATTACTTCCTTAAAATACAAGCTTAAGAATTCTTATGCTGTTAAATCAGCTTTTGGAAAGTCAGAAATTCTGACTTCCTCTCTGTGACATTCTGGAAACAAATGCACTTTGAAACATTAGTTAGTACAAAGCATTATTAATAATAATCATAATCAGAGACGGAATGTTTGGCACTCAAAGCGTTCAAACAGAGTTCTACATTCTCAGATGTATTAGAAGTTCAAAAGTTTGTTCTTATTGTTGCTGGAGTAATACATTTTAAGTGTTTAGTACACGAGTCGTCAAACTCGCATTGTACTTTTTGGCTTAGCGTGAAGATTTGTTAACTCAAGAAATCCCTCTTTCTTTTTAAACGCGATAATAAAGAGCTGGTCATGCGATCCATGAGATTTACCTTTCTGAGAACAGTGAGAGGAAGAGCTCTGTATGCCTCTTGCTAATACGGCTCTGTGAACACAAAAGCATGATTCTTCTCTATTATGGCAGAGGAGAGGTCAGGCTGCAGGTGTGAGCTGGCTCTGATGTCCTTCTGGTGTCACATTATTACATCTACTTTGTTTTATTTTATTCTCACCAGCCAGGTAGCAGACTTCAATCTTCAGTTTAAACAAAAATTCACCCCCGACTATGAATTCCCCCCCGACTAAATTTATGAAATGGCAGAAAATTACTCATTTTTGGTTGAGACTGACTGCACTGCATATATACCCACACATTCTCCAGGCTCTTCAGTGGATTGCTGGACAGGGGTTGACTTTGGGTACGGTTCAGTCCAGCTGCCCAACACAAGAACCCTTGTGCCTATGCTGGGAGTGGCAAAGAAAGTAGAAAAACTCCCTCTTTCCATGAACCCCAATAACACTCAGATGCTGACACTTATACAACACCCTTCCTGTAGAAAACTGAACCAGTTACCTAAAAGTAACCGCCTGGGTTCTCTTCCTCTTTCTCTGTCCTGCTATGGATCCATGCAGCTCATTCGTTGTTAAAAAACAAAAGATTCCCAAGCTTTCTTTCAAACCAGAAATGCCTTAAAAGTTCTCCCGGCTACACTTACCCGAAGTATTTCATACACATAAATCAAGCATTTAAAAATAAAGACATTGCAACCCTGGCAGTTTGTAATGACTTGCATGGGCTATACATATGACATATACTGTATGCATTCTACTGTATAACTACTTAAAATGAATCCACAGCTGAAGTGGTAAAAGCAGAAAAAGTCCATGTGTTTATCTTGTTTTTCAGACTTGCATCACTCTTGTCTGTTGAACCACTTCACTATGCCACGATGAAATATCTTGCAGAGCACAGCTGCAGTTACTTGTTCATAAACAATGTGGCCAAGTGATATGTAACTAATGCACTCAACAAACCTAGAGCTACGGTACAACTATAGTGTTTAACTGTTAACTTTGCTGATACATGTGAATTTTGTTTATTTTTTCCCCCTTTGCGACTAGACTATTTATAGACCTGTGGCACTAGAATTACAATCAATGGTGCAATTGTCTATAATATTACTCAAATATTACATCATACCAAAGCCAGGTGGAGGCGTCATTTCCACTGGGCATAGAAATTAGCCACATAGAAATCATTGCCCTTTCAGTCTGCCTAAACACACAGTGTCTTAAGCATTGGTGCTGCCCACAGGAATGATTATATGTTTGATTTTGTGTGTTTCAGGGTGTTTGTCGAGTGAAAAAAATCCACTGGTGGTATGATGTTCCTCTAGTCTTTCTAACCACTTCACCTCACCTCTCTTCAGTGCAAACAGTAATGAAAGTGTACGAAAAACATTAAACACATTCAAATTTAAGGTTTAAGTGAATTAAAAACATAAGCAAAGGGAATTGCAAGAGTTGAAAAAACTTGTAATAAGAAATTGTGACCTGTCAAAACATAAAATACACTTTCCCCTATACATTCATATTTTACCCTAAAATAACAAACTACACATGATCTACTAGTAGTAATAGGAACTACTATACAAAATGCTTTAGATAGGTCTTTATTGCTAGAACATAATTTATGATGTGATGTCAGTTTTTGTTTACTTTGTACATGTTTTGTTCCCTCCTTGGCTAGAGAGACAGTAAAACTTGGCTAGCTCAAAGTAGAATCCATCTATTATGGTTTTACTGTTAAATTTGAATGGAAAATTAACTTGGTTCATTTTCATGGTTGGAAAGGATCTGTAAGATAGTTAATTGGTTAAATGCATAAGTTCCATATATTACATTCATATAAAATATGGAATACATGTATTATATAGGCTAATTTATATTGAGGAAAGGAGTATTACTTTATAATTTACAAAGAATATTAATAATTAAGAAACCAATATATGCTTTTATGGTAAATATACTGTTAAAAGTACCCTTTTTTTATAAATGGAAATGATGACGGAATCTAGTTTGAAACCATCTCATAGTGACGTTTTTGTTGAAATAAGTTTACTTGTGTTACATGTTACGTTATTTAGTTAATGTAGAATTGTGCTACAACGCGGTTTGTTTGTGGGCATCGCTGTGCATTAGGGATGGGCGATACCACTTATTTTATTTTCGATACGATACCGATATTTTTCAAATCAGTATTGTCTATCGATACCGATTTGATACTTCTGAACTAAACTTTTAAATGATGAAATGTATTAAATTACTAAGAGTAAAATGGGTAATGATAAGCACTTAACTTTATGTTTAAAACGCATTTTAACATTCAATACGCCTTAATTGTAACTTATTAGGTTATATTTTTGTTTACACATGGTTCAAATATGTTTTTTGTTTACACATGATTCAAATCTATAAATACTACAGTTGAACTATGGTCACTTTAATAAAACCATGGTTCATTTTCATAAGGGACTGCCAGTGACAGGTTGTTGCATGCATAAAATGCAGTGTATGATAACATTACAGAATAGAACATGATCAGTATTAGCTTTCAACGTTCAATTCAAATAACTGTAATTCACAAACTATGTAGGCTACAATTTCAGTTTGTTTATTGTGAAATAACTCCGTCCTTCTGTCTTCTGATAAGCATTGTTCAGGGCTGCCGTTCCCAAAAGCATTAATGCTTTCTTATGATACTTTAGGGAAAAGCAGTGTCAGAAGTGAGTGAACGCTCTCTGTGATGGATTGGTTCTGTCTTGCAACATTTGCGTGTTCAGATGAGCAGGAAAATAGTTCTATCCTACACAATTACTCGCTAACAAAGGTTATTCGTCCAATTCAATGCATATTGTACGCATTATTATTATTATTTTTTTGTTAAATTAACAAAACCACTGGTAAATAAAACAGACCTTAGTGTCGATTTTTTTTGTTTGAGTATCGATACTTACGTCAGTATTAGGGATGGGCGTATCGATCCAAAGTATCGATATATCGATACTGTATCGATATATCGATACTTTGGATGATACGCCCATCCCTCCTGTGCATTGCATGTTAAGCAGTGTTTTAAATGTGCGTTATTCATGCGTGTAGTCTGAACTGACGGAGTTTATTCGTGTCTTTCACAGCCTATTGTTGAGGGTTACACGGACCGCTGATCTCTTTGTAAGTCAGTCTGGACGCAGTCGAGCGAAACACCGGGGTAATGAATAAGAGGCTTGTTTCCAAACTTTGAACCGCTTTTGTGCCGCGGGAGCTGAAATGTTAAGGACTCGTTGTCACTTACAAGTTGTACACGAGGTTTGTTAACAGTAACGGAAGGTAAGTTACAAAAACAAACCTCTCGGCCAGTCGAAAGCAGCTTCTATCAGCTTCTATCCTCACATGGTCTGCGATTATAAGATTTAGCCCGCGGGCCACACCACAGTAGGCTGTCCCTTCAGTTAGACTCGTCCACACAAGTGCATTGCATTACAGGACGGAAAATGAAGTATGAGCAGCCTTTTTCTTTCAAAAAACTAAAGAAACGCTTTCAGACAACAATAACCAAACAAAACCTTCGTTATAAGATTATGTATGGTTCAGTCAATGGATTTTATGGATTTTATAGACATCAATATAATGGGTTAAATTTGAACACAAACATCCCATTAACGGATGCGTTTGAGCTCGTTTTAAATGATACTGATATGTTCAAAATCCCTCACCTCTCTTGAATCACTTCTGTTAGCATCTCCATTCAATTCCATCGCTTCTGAAGCCATAATCCTTCCTTTGATTATAACGAACACTCCGTAAATAGCTGGGTTTCAGTGTTCTTCTGCTGCATTATGATCTCATGGACATTGAAAGGGCAGGGGGCTGGACATGTGCCTGCCAATCACTGCCGCGGCGATGTCCGAGTCGCTCTTTTGAGTCGGATCTTTTCAATCATCCAGACGAACCGGTTAAGACTTATCTGAACAATTCGATTACAAATCGCATTTTACTAAACGTACAAAACGTTTTTAGCCGGGATATTTCAGCAGTGTTTAATGTAAATGTGCTCGTTTCTAAACGTTTTGTTTATACAAAATACCATAGATATGTACCACGTGAAATTACAATAAAACAATTATCAATAGAAAAATTAAGCAATATGTGCTATAGGCCTATATCAGAATATAGAGTACATAATATTCCATTTAAGGATGGCCGAAAGCAATATTTATGTAAAAGGGGGGCTGTTTTTATACGGCTCTATGAGCAGTTTGTACGAAATTCCGATGATCGGTTAAACTTCGAATCGCTGCAGTGCAGGTTCAACACTGGCACCCGTTCATCCACAGTCTAATACCAAAGTTCGTGCTCTTATCAGTGTAGATATTATTATTAGAGGCCTAAATAGGCCCGTGATCACTCCCAACGTTTGAAACATTTATATCTATAGGTACAAACATATACATATTACAATCAGAGGCCTGCATTTTTGTCCAAATCATTGACCTTTAGATCTTTGACTCGGTGCCAAATATGCAAAAACTAAAACTTTCAGTGTTCAGAGACATCTGTGTTTGTGCTGCCATCTAGTGATAGTTAAACACACCGAGGATCCATGTTTATTAAATTGATTGCTTCAAATTTACTGTATAATAATAATAATCATAATGTTGATTGGATGTTTCTGACTGCAGGCAAAAGTTAGCAGATAAAGTAGTTATACAGTAATTAGGTGATATAAAAATACAACTGGCTATGTAGAGGTATATTTTATTATATAAAAGAGTATATAAAATATGCATTTTCTCTCATGCATCTTTTCTTCTGATACATTTGAATTGTAATATTCTTTAATTAAACTATTAGCACCCTTTTATTAAAAATGTTAATATCAGTTTATTGTACGCTGACAATACAATCTCCTTTTACCAGTTTCCTTTTTTATATTATTATTATTATTTTAAATGGACATTTCACCCAAAAATAGAAATTCTGTCATCTTTTACTCACCCTCAAATTGTTCCCAACGTTTATTCCTTCATTCATTCTTTCTGTTAAAAAGAAGATATTTTGAAGAACTCTGTGTAACCAAACAGTTGAATGTTTTAGATAGGAATGCACCAAACATTGAGTTTCTCTGTGTTTTCCATACAATGGCTATCAACCGTTTGGTTACACACATTCTTCAAAATAACTTATTTTGTGTTCAGCAGGTTTGGAACTTAAGGATAAGTAAATGATGACAGAATTTTTGGGTAAACTCTCCCTTTAAGTGTTTCAGGTCCTATTCAGTACCCTATTTGTGGTAATTGCCTACTACCCTGGGACAGAGCAGACTCATTTAATTGTAGAGAGCACTGACAACAGTTCAGTGTGTCAAGTTCTTAAAGTACAGACTCATGACAGATCTAATTAATTGCAGTATTACAGAAGAAGTTCAGTTTCTATAAATATAAGGTACCAGTGTGTAAGATTTCTGACCCTTACTGCACACTTGTCTTTTAGAATCTCTAAACGATAAAGATTATCCTTGTGCTGTGTAAAAATGTGTCCATACACTTTCCATAAATGAGCTGAGCACTAAATAATTTTGTCTGTGGTAGACTTGAATAGTTGTAAAATTTTTCAGTATTTATTTATGTGACTCACTTTGATATAATATGCCCAGATTTGCCTTTAATGTCAAGTGCAAAGCTATTGTTACAGTCAACTCAGTCGGCTAACGGAGTGCAGTTGTTAGTTACACTAACAGAAAACATTGAGTTGACAAATTCTGTCATTCTACTGTACAATTTTATGAATCACCTCAGGAAGGTGCTGAACACGTATTATTTCACTTAACTTACTTATGGTTAAACCATGATGTTAAACTCACCCTCCCTCCCCTATAAGAATGTAATACTGTAAGTGTTATTGCAGAGGGAATGAACACAACTCAAGAGGAGGAGGAGGGTAGGGATGAGAGGATAAAAAGCATCGTCATACAACATTCATTCACATTAAATATTCAGCAGTCTTAACCAAGTCACGTGGCGGGCATAGGCCTAGGTAGCCTATATACTGAGAATAGTAAAGGGATACCTTATACGAAGTTGCTGTAAACTACTTAAAACTTAGTTATACTGTCATATTAGTTCAATATGACAATTGGCCTAGTTATGTCTCTGCAGGACAGTGCCCCGTTCCGTCCTTCACCAAGCTCTGGTCACTCACGTCACATAGGTTTGGGCGGGTCCAGCGTTCCGTGGGGTCCATGGCGACCCGTGTAGAGCAGGATAAGGGTACCGCCTAAAAACAGACGCTTTTATTGGACACACAGTGGCGCTGCGGGATGTCCATAACAGCGCATCAGCACGGGAACCGAAGCTAACTATGAACGCTATAACATAACGAGGGAGGAATCTTTAGGGAGGTGTCGGTGCCGTATTATCCGAGATGAGGAGAGCATTGCCGCAGTGAGCAAATAATCTCATCAGCGGGCTCTGGATTTCATGTCCCTTACAGACGCTGACATTCATAAGAAGCAAGGGTAGGCTACTCAGGTTCGAAGCTGCTATGTGGTCGCTTGGTCAAATTAGACGTCTGAAAGACCATTCATTAAAATGTTATTTCAAGGGATAGCTGCGCACTTTATAGTTTTGTGACGGATTAAACAACGTGACAACCTCTGTCAACTACCTAGCATGGTGAGTTAAATACTGATATTAGTTTCATATTGAAAAGAAAATCTTTTAAAATTATTTTATAGCTTTTAAAGTAGGCTACATTTGTGGCATGAATTTTTGATGTAAGGGAGCGTACCTCGAAAAAGAAGTTAATGACATTAGTAACTATATATATGTTCTGTTTTGCTTTTTTCAGATAATTGTATAAATATTTGATTATAATTAATATGAGCTATTATATGTAAACGACGAGTCTGGCAGTCCTCAAATGATGCCGAACTGCGTCAGTACAGACTGGTAATATGCAGGTATGGCAATCCGTTTTAACATTTATCCATTTAATACGAACTAGTGTCTGTTCTATGTTTCTAGCACTTTTTAAATTAGTATTAAGTAATCCAGTACTTTCTATTATTTATTTATTCATTCCCGTAGTGAGTAATATTGTTAATTAGTACTTACTATGTAGAACTTACTCATTTTCTGCCAGTCATTATCCCATAACTATTCTTAATGGTGACCAATTTTCAGTATTCCAGTTGTTACTAGTGACATTTCAAAACTTACTTGTAGGAATTTTAATATAAATTATATACTATATCCTATAAAGTATCTAATGGACCTCATGGTCATTATATATGATGAATTTCTGGTGAGATTAGAAACATTACAACAATTGAGATTTTCCCCATGTAAATATGTACTAGTATCTAATAAATATACACTAGTAAATATGGATTTGTATTATTTGGATAGTCTTCTTGTATCTAGAGAAGTTATAAATACTAGCATGTGGAACAAGTGCTAAACACTAATTACTTCTGGGATAAGTACTAATTTCTAATGAATACTTAGTAGTGAAATAGAAACAGATAGTAGTCATTATTTAATTAATTACTGGTAAGGAAACAGCTAGGAACACAAAAAGATTTCAGTTAGTTTAAGTAATAAATGTGAAAAGTACTTGCCATATTGCAGGTGCATTCATTCAAGGAGGACCATGCAAACGGGTGAATGTCACTGATGAGTGTCCAGCGATTCACTGGTCATGGAAAACCGGACTGGACCCAACTCTGAGCAGCAGCCTGTAGGCTTTACAGTTCCCTCTGTCCCCTCAAAAAAGACTGTAATTTATGAAAATGGCCATGAACATCCCACTCACACAGACCCCACAGCTGCAGCACACAGAGGGGCCAGCGATCCAACTGCATACCCTCTATCAGATTACAAAGGTCTGGTCCGGCAGAGATTTATACGCAGAAGTTTGTGGTTCTCTGAGTCAGAGGATCAAGAATTGGAGATTTCAGAATGCGACACCACCAGCAGTCCTGTTAAAAGTGCTCATATTGCTGTCCAGAGGAGCTTTAACGTGGAGTGTCAGGTGGGACAGGGGGAAGGTGTAAAAGAGAACTTCACCAAAGAGCCAGAGACAAGTGACGCTGAGGAAAAACATGATGCTGAACCATCTGAAACGTCCGAGAGTGTGGGGAAAGCTGGGAGTGATGAGAACGAGGAAGAGGCCGAAATGAAGGCCGTATCCACCTCTCCAGGTGGACGCTTTCTTAAGTTTGATATTGAGCTTGGCAGAGGGTCCTTCAAAACGGTCTATAAAGGCCTGGACACTGAAACGTGGGTGGAGGTGGCCTGGTGTGAACTTCAGGTAAGGAAAATGCAGTTACAACGTATTCTCAATTTTAACCACTGGAGTTTCAAATCTTGCAATAACTCCTATTGACCTTTTTTCCATAAAGGCTTTGTCTGTTATTGGTCTTTCCAAATTTGTTGACATGTTATTTAATATCATTATCACTGATATTGCAAAAAAGTGTCAGATAACCAACAGATCTACTTAATTTGTTGGGCATAATGACTAGATTTGTATCAGTTATCTAGAAGTTAAAACTGTAACTGTGAACCGTAAGTAAAAATTAAGTTTCTGTGTAGTTGGTTATTAACAAAAAAGTCTGTATTATTCTGATTGATCCTGTTGCCATTCAAAATGCCTGCTCCTTATACAAGTTTGCCGGGTCATCTGATATGGCCTCTTCCTTTTATTAGCACTATTGATTGTAAAATGGAGAGATTGAATCACCATTACCACATCTAGATCAGATTTCCTATGTTTCCGTGTTGTAGTCTATAATCATTTAAGGTTCAGCTGAGTTCAACAGAGAATAGTAAGTGTTAAAATTTCTGTTATTGCTTTCTGGAATATTGTGAGA